GTAGCTCTGGATTTCAGATGTAAACTTTTAGACTCTGAGCATGAATGTAACTCGATCATATTTGTACTCGTAAGTACAAAACAAACCTATTTGGATTTAACTTGGAAGTAATGGCAGACTGGGATCCAATCCATTCCCACCTTGCAGGCAAAGCAGGGATATTTTTTCTTTAACTGGATGAGCCCTCCACATCAGTAGGATATAGACCAGCTGGAGCGAGTCCAGAGGAGGCCATGGAGATGATCCGAGGGCTGGAGCACCTCTGCTGTGATGAAAGGCTGCGAGAATTGGGCTTGTTCAGCCTGGAGAAGAGGAGGCTCCAGGGCGACCTCGCTGCAGCCTTCCAGTGCCTGAAGCGGCTACAAGGAAGCTGGGGGGAACTTTTCCCCAGGGCCTATAGGGACAGGACAAGGGGTAACGGGTTTAAATTGAAAGTGGGGAGGTTTAGAATAGATATCAGGACGAAGTTCTTCCCGGAGAGGGTGCTGAAGCACTGGGACAGGTTGCCCAGAGAAGCTGTGGATGCCCCATCCCTGGAAGTGTCCAAGGCCAGGCTGGATGAGGCTTGGAGCAACCTGGTCTAGTGGAAGGTGTCCCTGCCCATGGCAGGGGGGTTGGAACTAGATGATCTTTAAGGTCCCTTCCAACCCAAACCATTCTGTGATTCTGTGAAATGAGATTGTCTTCATTATCTCTTGGTGTCTGAGAAAAGAGTCATATGTAATCAGAACATATTTTCATGTTTGCAACAGCTGAGTTTCAGATAGCAGATTATTAGTAGCTGAACGCTTCTGAAACTTTTGTGTCAGCTTTAATATCAGTTCCACTTCTTAGAAATCACTCACTGAAAGCATGCACTGTAAGTGTCAATCACTCAGATTCTCTGCGTGTGGGAAACGGTGATTTTCAGTGTGCAGTCAAGCAGTTTGGAAATCTGATCACAACAGTGGCAGTGGGGGGGATGAACTCTTTAAAAACGAATAATTCTGTTAAAATAATATTCTGGTGTCAGAGTAATCTGCAGTATATCAAACTTGGATGCAGGTACTGCTATGATTACATACACATTTGCCATTAAATTAATCTCTGTTTATCTTTCATACTGGAAAGATGCAAGATGAGTAATCACTTTTTTTTTTTCCCTCCTTGGTCAGCTGAACCTGTTGATGTGCTAAAAGCATTAGAATTTCACAATTCACCAGAAGGAGTATCAAGAACGGCAGGATTTTGCACAAACCGAAGGGATTCAAAAGGCTCAGATGTTGCCTACCGAGTTTCAAAGGCGGCCCAGCTGAGTGCCCCAACGAAGCAGCTGTACCCAGGTAAGGCTGTCGGGATGCTATGGCTTTGGTAAATTATCTCCCTGCCTGTGCTTTTACGGTAGCTAAAGCACAGCATGTAGTCCATCGTCGGGACCACAACAGGCTCTGTGATCCCTAGAGCTGGGCCTGCACACAAGGGGAGGGACACACTCTATCCCCCAAATGAATTGGGTTTATTGGCTTCACTCATAGAGCTTTTCATCAAATTCTGTGTCACTGGCAGAACTGGCCTCTGAGCGGTATTACCTGTTCTTTCACAGTGCAACCTGATGGAAAGCTTGTTGGGTGGCTTTGGCAAATCTCCTCCAGTTTCAGTAGTCCCTTCAAAAGCAATACTTCCCAGAGTAATGCTGCACTGGCAGAACTGAGGTGTGGTTGGCCGTTGCAAAATTGTTCCCAGAAGCACCATCTGCTAAGAATTACCGAAGAGCGGCTGGGTATTTGGGGGACTAAACAAGGCTTGTTGTGGACAGCAGGGAATGTGATTTCATCTTCTCTAAAATGAAATAATCATGTCTTAGAAAAGATTCTTTGGATGTTGAGAAGAGATTTTTATTCCATTATTTGGCTGTCACTTGACCCAAACTGTTGAAGAAAATGATGGTAAGAATATTAAAAACCAAAATTGTGGAATGATTAATTTTTATGCTTGGATAATCCATGCAGAGTTTGAACAAGTCCTGTATATAAACATACAGACTAGATGTTTGTAAAAAAACAAACAAACAAAAAACCAAAACAAAACTTTCTTTTTTGTCTTTCAAAGGAGCAATCATGTAGATGTCCTATAGCTATAGAATCGTACAGCTGTCATCAGAGCTATAGAATCATATACATACCACTGAAGACCTGTAAAAGGGGGAAACATACATAATTTTCTGGTAATACTGGGTTCCCAGAGCACCATGGAAAACAGCTATACGCACTTCAGGCATAACTTACATGTTCCATTAACTCATCAGTTTCCTTTTGCTTTGATTCCTTACATGAATACAAAAATTCACTGCAGATATTATATTATTTTAACACAGTTTTTCAGTTTTTAATATATCTTCTCAGTAAGTTGCATATAGTTAGCAGAGCTATCCAGATGAAACTATTAATGCAATGTCACATTACAGTCTGCAGTCTCTTGCTGATATGTTGGACTATGTGTGTAATTGATTTCTTCTTCACCTAAGTAAGGTTAGCAGAATATGGGCTGCTTTTCCTTTAAAAAATGCAAAAATGATCCATTGTCTTGAAAAACTGCAAAAGTGGCACGGTGTAATAAGTTGGCACCTTTATGTTTTGAGTTTCACAGTGTGTGTCACTGAAGCCAAGTGGTACAACAGAAACTTTTAAATGAGCATTCAAATACGACTGAACAGAAGATTAAACTGACTTGGAATCCCTAATACATTGTGAACTTTAGGACAGTACAATCACCCTCTGCTAAACCAGTGCCTGAAAGTCTAGAGCAGGAAGTCTGAGAGCTTGGGCTGACTTGCACTTATTCATGAATCAAATCGTAGTATAAAGAGGAGATCTGGCTGCTGCAGCTCATGAAGTCCTTGAATGCCAGAACAAATAAGTACCTCACGTTGTGTGCCAACATCTCAATTTCTGTAGCCTTTCAATGCCTTAATTTAGGTACTCTTCTTGCTAATGCTTTCAGTTTCTGCTTTAGCACTGGCATGGATTGGGTTGATTTTACCAATCTGTTGCAACACTTCTGGGTGCAGGAGGCAAATATAAAGCATTGCTCCCTCACGGCAGTAAGAGAAGCCACCACAAGACTGTGCTTAATATGGGAAAATGTCATGCTATCCTCTACTTCAATAGAGAACATAGCAACAGTTTTTTGGGAGGTGATCATGGTAATTCTGAATCTTGTGGAACAGGCATCCTCTCCCCACCAAAAGAAATTTTTTTTTTTTTTTCTTCAGAGGTGATTCTTACAAATATTTGAGCAATCATGTCCCTTTTTCTTAGTTCAATATGGTAGTGGAAAGACTAAAGAAGATATCCAAAATGAGACTGAGTTGTGAGACGTCACTGTAGCTAAACAATACAAGCTGCAATGCACCCTATGTTTGCTTCTGTCCAACTCATTGGGAATTATAGGTATCTAGCTATTGTAGCTCAGAAGGAGCTATGGGTGGCAAAAGCCAGGAGCATTGATATAGCCATCTTTAAAAACGAATCCTAAAATATTCAGCAATTTCCCAGAATCTTGTAGGCATTGTTGCACTGACTGGAAGGCATTACATCATTCCAAAGATAACTGCTTGAGTTTTTGTTGTACCGTTTGTTTATATGCTCTTGGTTCTCATTTACAAAAGCATGTAGGGATGGCAACCCAGATACGTGTAAAGATTTTTTTAGCAATTTTCCCTCCAGTTGCTGTGATTTTTGGCCATTGTTCAGTAGTACCATACCATACAAGGGATTTAAAAGTAGTTGAGGACTTTAACTGTTCCATAGATGTGAGCAGAACTGTACATACATAGCAATATATAAGGTTTTACGTGTTAAAGGTCAATAAATGAATGACATTCTTCACTCAAAACTGCATTTGGAGGAAATGCACTAGTAATTACACAATGTAGGTGCAAGATAAAACATTTGGGAATGTTACCTCATAGCAGTGATGACAAACTACTGAGCTGAGGCCCATGAGCCCTTTGCAGTCACCTTTCCTAGAAAGCTCCTGGGCTTTTTCAGAAGTGGTTACTGTTTGAAAGCACATGCCCAGACGAGCTGAATGAGTGTCACCTGCCTTAAGCATTTTCAACCTATCTTTCAGATTAACAGTGCAGATAGGGCAAGTGTTCAGTGCTTTCCAAATAATTTCTTTGGCCTTTGACAGTCATATTTTTTTCTTTGTCATCTGTTTACTCTGACATTAAAAGCTGTAACATATAGTTAATTTAATCTGTAAACTAGCAGCTTTATGTTGTCATTAAAAAGCTTGACCAGAGGCTCACCAGAGTATATGAAATGCTTCCTATTTCTTGAGCTTTGATCCCTTCAAAATAAGATGTTGAAACAAGCCCTAAATTGGTCTGTATTACTAGGGTGTTTCAACAACCTTCTACCAAAAAAGTTAAAAAGATGGTGGAAAGCACATAAACGAACACTGTAGTAGGCGGTATAGTAAGTGCAAGACTAGGGATTTTCTGGTTTAGGAGAGCAGTATGTCATTTAAAGAGCGACAAAGATTTTAAGCATTTTGTTCTCATATTGTAACTAACGAGTTAATGCCATCAATAACTTGTCTTCATGGAAGACTCCACAGAACCCTGACAGTGTTTTCCCACAAGACCTGTCTTGGAAACAATCTTTTATTTTCTCCCATTAGAAGAAGCAATTCCTAAATCAGCTTTCAATGTTCAAGTCTTACTGACTTTTATTCATTACAAAAATGTAAATTCTTTTATTTTACTAGAACTTACTGTATTATATTATTATAACATTGTATTCATTATTTTATAATCTCAGTCTTACATTTCATATTTTATTAAGCCTAATAGAGTTTCCCATCAAGTGAAAAGCAGGTTTACTGCCAGATTCAACAGGAGTAGGACTGAGTACAAATCTCAGTCCTTTCTTTATAAACAAGCTGTATCCACTTCTAATTTTGTTTATTTTTAGTTGTGAAGGTTGAAACAATGATTGAGATATAATCTCTACTTCAAAGAGAAAGCATCAGGGAATAAATGAAAATTAAATGTTCTTTGACTTTGCCTAAAGCTCCTATTAAATAAAACTAGCTATGTATTTTTTCAATGTTATGCACAATATTATTCTAGAATGACTCAAATATACATTGAGAGAGAGAAACTAAGGCAAGTGGTTATCAAGGGAGCTGAAGTGCCTAGGAACACATCTGCTATAACACAGATACTTATTTTGTTGAGTGAAATTGTAGCTCACGCTTTTAAATAAAAAGATTGCTAAAAAGAAGACGAGTATAAAAAATAATGAACATGAAACTGTTTCTTGCGTATATTGTACTATAACATAAATTTTCAGTAGATGTACAAGTCATGTTTTTAGGAACCATTCAGATATGTCTTTCAGGAATTAAAGCAAGACCAGAAAGAAAACGAGAGATAACAACAAATATTTCTGGTCTAGTTTCTTATGTATTTGTTCTGGAGAATTGAAAAACCCCGACAGTTTGTATGTGGGATCCTCTGTGCTTAGAGAAAAAGGTAAACCTTTAAAAAATGGTTTCATACTTTCTGAATTTGTAACTGTATATATCACATTGTTTACAGATGGAGATTTTCCAGAAGACTTTTCAATACTAATGACAGTAAAACCTAAAAAGGGGATCCAGTCCTTCCTGCTGTCTGTCTACAACGAGCAAGGAATTCAGCAAGTAGGCGTTGAAGTCGGTAGATCCCCTGTCTTCCTGTTTGAAGACCAAAATGGAAAACCTGCCCCAGAAGACTATCCTCTTTTCAGAACAGTCAACATTGCTGATGGCAAGTAAGTGTAGAATTTGAAGATGAAAAACAATACCACAGACCACTGTGTAGGTATTTGTCTTTACAAACAATAACCTTAAAGATTAAATCACCAACACGATTTCCAGCTAGTTGAACTGCTGTGGTACCAAGTCAGGGAACCTTGGCAGCAGCATACAATTCCAGCTTCAAACAGTGTGTACAGTTACAAATAAAGCTAAACCACCTTTCTAATTTTTCATTTCTATAAATCAGAAGTGAAGAAATAGTCATAGAAGTTAAACCCACCCAAATTAAACCTGTGATGATTCTTCATGTATTGCGCAGGAAGAAACTGTTTTCAGAAACACTCGAGGGCTGACTAGAAGGGCTATCTCAGCCCTTTGAAGGTGATAGGAAGGATGAAGACAAATTGACAAGAAAGCATAGAATTTCTCCTGCCTTGAACCAAAACAGCAGACAAGTGACATGGTTTGAGATGTCTATGTAAGGAAATCGGGGAAGAATAAGCTGGACGATTCATCTGCACTACCGCAAGGACTTATACCGCACCCTTAAGAAAGGCAATTAATCTCAAACATCTATTACTTTATTAATGCAGCTGGTTTTTGTAGCCAACTTCCCTTTGTAGGCAAGCAGTCATTCTCTGGGAATGTCATTCATGGGCATTCGTTCTTTCAAAGGCTTTTTATTTGTTGTGCTGCAGTTCAGGAAGAGCAGCCACAGTCTTCACAGACACACAAACCGAAACTTGATTACAGCAAAAGGAAACAAATCTGTAGAGAAGGAAAGATAAAAATTGAACTATAATGAAGTATGTTTATAAAGCAATAAAGGATAAAAGAAGGAAAAAGTAATGGACTTCTAGGCCTTGTATTATCAGAGAATGGAACTATAGCATGAAACCTAAAACTGATGCATTTCCCTAGCAGGAGTGATAAAATAAAGCAGCAAATTTCTTTTTTTTTTTCACTGACTTCCTCTAAATAACAAAGCTTGACATGGATTTCAGAATTTCACCCATAATGTGGAGAAACTGATAAAAATGAAAAAATCAAATGAACTTGGTTGTGTAGTCTCACTGCAGGCAGTTGTACCAAACTTGTAGGTCAACTGGCGCCAGTCCTGTCCGCAGCGAGCTATGTTTTCATGCTCTCAGCTTCTGCCTGCTTTCAAAAGAGAGACCGACAATTTTCTTCTGACTCAGCTATTTTATGAAGGATCTAGGACAACAGTCTTCGTCTCAAAATGAGATATATTTAAAAAGAGTAAAATGTGCCTGAGGATGCATGGACAGTTTGCTTGTATAAAGATAATGTTCAACCACGTTCCAGAGAAAACACGGAATTAAAGTCTTGGCTCAGTGATACTGTTTAGCAGTCAGATTCCATTAGCTTTGAGGTCTTCCTTTTGATATACAGAAGCTCTTTGTAACAATGATCTAAGCTGTCTCTCTGATTTAGAGAACCTTAGTGCCACAAATGCCAACAAAAATAACGTGATTCCAGCCTTCCTCATCCCAGTCATGAGTATGACACACTTGGACACTTTTTGCCCTGGTCTGTCAAAGATGCTTTAATGTTTTGCTCCATGTTAGAGAGGTTTGCTGTTGCTCTTAGATATTTAATTTGTCATAGCAGAGATGCTCTCTAAATTAATGTGGTTTGTAAGGATAATAAAGTCTCATAAAGGACATGGTGTAGATGGACAAATTGTACAAAACTTTGTTCTCAAATGTCTTTAAAATTGTCAGTATTCTGAATCACTTCACTCACTTTTTGGTGAATATTTATGTAGGCAAAAGCTATTGTACAGGAATACTGGCAAGCATTTTAAAGTGTATGTATCTGGAAAAGCATCTATGCTGAAACCATTGTTCATCTTTGAAAAATCTCTTTATCTGTAGGATACCTTCAAATAAGCAAAAGAACATGGTAAAATTTTGCAGTTTGATCACAGAGAACAAATAGTAAAATGCAAATAACAAAGAATAAATTGCTGGATTAAATATATTTACACAAGTAATTCCTTAAGTAATTTGGAAAATCAAACACATTAAGAAAAATAAAATCTTCTGTCAGATTGTTCAGGCTAACAATGTGGACAGAGCACTTGCTTCTAATTTGAGTTTGCTAATGTTCTCTGGGTAAAAGCTTCAGGGAAGGTCAGCTTGAACTTCATCTTATATGGGATATTCACGATGAACTGTGGATCTGATTCCTTTGTACTGAGGGACAGAAGTTATATAGTGAATAGGCAAACCATTGTGTACATATGAAAGAAGGAAATAAATGGAGAAATGTAGAATTTTATCTGTGGCTTGATGGGTACTCATCCTACAATCAGCTGTCTTGATAAGAACACAATGGCCTAGTTTCAAAAACATAAATTACAGTAGCATTATGTTGTTTTTTTAATAGGTGGCATCGAGTAGCTATTAGTGTGGAGAAAAGAAGTGTTACAATGATTGTTGACTGTAACAAGAAAACTACAAAACCACTTGAAAGAAGTGACAAAGCAGTTGTGGACACCAATGGCATCACTGTCTTTGGAACCAGGATTCTGGACGAAGAAGTTTTTGAGGTAAAAATCAATACTGAACTTAGGGAATTGAGTGATTTTGTGTTGAGTGAAGTGCTTAGTGCAAAGCAGAATAACTTTTTGGGCACTAAAGCTGGTCTAATGTAGCAAGTTTGATTTATAGAACCTGTTAGGATAGGCTGAACTAAAGGAGAAATAAACCAGGGAAATTTCTCTGTCATTGGAAGATATGATGCATTTTTCTGTTCTTTAGGTTATATTGTATCTGGAAGGGGCTTGCTTTTTTTGTCTTTCTGCCTAATATTGAGATACCCAAGATATTTAGGAAAATTAATCTGGGAAAGTTGAGCAATATGATACTGATTCATGTTAGTTCTGTCTCTCTTAAGCATTTACAGATATTTGTGCATGCTAACAGTATTTGAAAGAGGGGGTTAAGGGCCTGGAAAGTTTCTATGTAATATGAATCCCTTATATTGTTTATCCCACGTATTACTCTTTCCAGTAACTGGAACATACTTTGGCAATAAGGACATATATGTTTCCGTCATTTACTGGCCAAGTAGTACATATAGGAAGGCTGAAATGCCTCTAAGGAAGTATGTGACTGCCAATCATGAGGCCTTTCTAGGTAGAGCCCTTATATCAACGGTTATTTTTACAGGCTAATAATGAAGCTTCTCTAAATCTACACTATTGAGTTGCTTTTGTGATACTGTTGTACAACAGTCAAAACTGTCAAATTTAAATTAAAACTGAAAAATAAGAAAATACAGGTCAGTAGTTAGCTTATTTAATATCCAGACCATCTCTGCTCCATAAATATCCAGAGTTGTAATCCTAGCTTTAAGCAGAGCGTATGCTTGAGAAGCTGCATAGGCATCGAGAGAGGAAATACGAATTGAGTGTAACACTGTGGCTTTGTTAGCTTTTGTTTCCATAGACAGGATGAAACATGAGATATCTTTATGGGGGAATTTCTGGGATGGTTGAATGGGTCAACCAGTATATGTTTGGTATTCACACCCCAATTTACCTGTAGCCCCCGATACAGTTTGCACATCTGAGTGACATGAGGTTCCATTTGAAGACAAATTCCACAGATACCTTATCTGGGGTGGAAGAAGGGTTTAGGGTCTCCACGTGGGCTAATGACTTTCAGTTTTCATTTGTGTTTCTTTCTTAGGTCAGAAACCAGGTCTCACAATATGTGTGTTTGTCAATAGATTGTTAAAAATATGTGCAATGTTAATATATATCAGTAAAAAGAATGCACCAAAAGAAATACAATAGAAGTAGATAAACTGATACCTTGTTAGTGTTTGACAAGTGATTTTAGATGATAATGGAAACTAAGGCAACCAGCCCTGACTTACTCTTGCGAAGTTTGTAACCATCTTAAAACTTGTCAGGGAGGGAAGTGCATAATACCTAAACACTGGTGCTTGGTTTTTTTTACCCAGTGCAATTGCTGAATAAAAAGACCTGTCTGAAGTTTGAGAGGTGCTGCAATGATTGTACATAGCTCTTTGCATAAAAGACAGTGGTTGATGATTTGTGCATGAAGAGATATGTTTTAATTGTTTGCATCAAGTGACACATTGAATAAGGGAAGCATGCTAGGGCCTTTCATCTCTGACATGACATTAGATTTCAGAGTTTAAGACTTAAAACTGTATAAGACACACATTTGATGCCTTCACTAGCATACATGTAGGAAGGACATAAAAGGAAATACCTCGGTGTATGATGACTTGTTGGTATTCACAGCATGTTGTAGCCAGGCGTCGCAAAGGCTGTTTTATGTTGAGTAATAATGGTGGGTTTAGTCATGGTAAGCCGATGGTTTGATCACAGGAACTGTGGAGCACTCTTCAGTCTCCTCTATCTGAATGGGAATTCAAACTGTGGACATACCAAACCTCTAGAGATATATATTGAAATTTTAGGTTTCAGTGACTCAGTGGTTAAAGATGCCAGGGTTTCTTCTGGGCCTGAACCTGTTTGTACAATGTTACGCAACTGCACCAAACCCAGTGGCATCACTAAAGTCATTCAATCCCCCTAAAAGCAGAGCACAGTGCTGTAGATAAATCATATGGTCCTGCTCCCTTACGTACACAGAAGACAGATATTATTATGTGACATTCTCTTGACCTCTTGACAACTTGATTGTATCTTTGGGAAAAAAGTGTTACTTCTTCGGTCATTGCTCCAATGTATTTGCATGGACCATTAATCTAGAATCCTCAGAACAAATATTGCTCCTATGAGGAATATTCCACGTGTATTTTAAAACAGTGTTACATCACAGTCGATCAAATATTATTCTTTGTTCCTATGTTATTTCAAACTTGTAATATAACAAAATTTAGCAAAACAACTTTTTTTTTTTTCCTGTTGTTAGTATTAACTTCTGTTGTCTAGGCAGTTCTCCCACTTTGGTTCTGATTCTGGCAGCCTGACCCTTGCTAACACAACAACATGTTATAGTGCACTGGGCAATTTTAAATCATACATTTCAGTCAGTTTGACATGACTGCTTTGAGGCAACTTCTTATGCTGATGATCAAGAATTTCTGAGTCAGTAAGCGTTCTGGGTGTCCAGAGATTGGGTAGATCACCAGTGAAAGAGGGAAAGGGCTGATTAGTGTTCAAAGAGCATGATAAATGACTGCCTAATTTTCCGGGTTTGCGTATTCTGCAAGAATACTATTCCTTGGCAAGGTTACCTGCTTGTGCTGAAGCCAAGAGGCATGTTCTAGTACTGGGATCTTCTGGTTCAGCTTGGAAAGCAAGAAAAAATTTATCTGAAGTATTTTCCCAATCTTGGGGGGGAGGGGTGTGTGTGTGTTTGTGTTTTATATGTGGCTATTAATCTGGGATTTTATGTCACTGTTCCGTTAATAGGGGAATCAGTATAATATCACAAACAAGGCATGGGATGCCAGCAGGCATTAAACATCAGGTGCATACACCTGCTCGAGAAGCAAATTATAAACTGTGAATGTGTCTTAAAATAATATGGTTTCTAGACAGCGTAGTTTTATTATTACTGACTGCCACATTGAGACCTTCATTTGTGCTGCTAAGCACTTGCTTGCTGGAGTGAGTCTATTGATATCAGTGGAACTACTTTGTAAATTCTTGTCTATGAAAAACTGACCTGGTAGATCTCAACTTGTGTCATTGGAAATGAGTCTGGTCTGTGCTTTCAATTAAACAGTGCAAGAAGAGCTGGTTTGTAAGTGCTTACTGCAAAGCAGAGGATTCCTACAACAGTATACAAAAAACTATTAAAAAAAAAGAAGAAATTAGATACTGGTACATGGCACCCAGTACAAGAATCTGGAATTACATCCATTGAAATATGTTTGTGGCTTAAATGTCTGATAAATAGCAGGAATCTTTTTATTCTTTGCCATCTTTAAGGATTTGTCACTCCTCATTTATTGCTGTTGGTGTGAACAATACAATAGTTTTTTATAGTAAGTATTTTATAACAAATTAACAACTAACAGAGTCTTTATGCAGATATTTCCCTATAGACTTTTCCTTCGAAACTCCCCACACGTCAGACCAATACAGTAGTTTTCAGGCACTGGGCTTTAAATGAGTGTAACAAGACAAAGCCTGATGTATAGAAGACTCATTTAAAGCTAATGAAAGCTCTGACTGCACAATTCATGAGATTAAATTCTTGCAGTAATTGGTGTTATTAAAGGGTTTAAATTTTGATACTAGGCATTAACCCATTTTCATGAAAAAGCATTCATACACTTACGTACATAATAGGATTCCTTTAAACAGCCCAAGTGAGCAGCTGGAGCTGGAATGCTAGAGCTTTGGCAGCAGTACGATTTGGGTTGCAGATCCCTTCAGGTGCGTAGCCATCACTCGCATGTCCGTAAGCGTGGGGAGTCCAAGTGCGCAGTGCAGAAAGGCTGCTCGCCTGAGTGTGTGCTCCGTGAAGGAGGTGGCAGTAGCAGCCTGGGTAGAGCTTTTGCTCTGAGCAGAATTTCTGTAGGGGTAGGGAAGCTAGCCCAAAGTAAGACTTCCCCAGAGGCGTGTAGTGTGAATATCGCGTCATCGGTGTCCCCTGCTTCCTGCTGTTGAGGTGAGCTGCTGAGCTGCAGTGAGTCCTGTTATATAGTGCCTTCCATGACTGCTGGTGACCCACTAAATGCTTGGTGTCAGTCAGACTAAGAAGTCATGTTTGACATCAGTGGGACAGAAATCAAAGGATGCAATCAGTTGCAGGCAAAAACATTTAGAAGCACCCAACCAGCTATCAAGACCAGAGAAGTGGCCAAATTCCAGCACTGGGAGGTGGGGGGGGAAAAGGCAAATCAACCAATTTTTCCATTTCAGAGGCATCTAATAAAATCCCAGCATTTTTACATTTCTTACAAAAGCTTTCTATTGGGCTTGTTTTGTTTTGCACCTTTTTGGTTTTAGTCAGAAAGAATGGGGCTTTTGTTTGGAGTTTTTTTATAGTATTTCCAAATTTATGCTCAGTGAACAAAAGTAAATAATTCTGTTTTCCTTGTTTCTCTTCCTTGTTTCTGAAAGAAGGAGGTGGGGGGGGGGGGAGGGGGGGGGGAGGAAGGAAAGAAAGCTCTAGTAATTCATTGAAGTTCAAGTTCATTGCCAAGGAATATTCCCAAGAAACAAAGGAATGGTCATTTAACTAAACCCTCTGTAATTACATTTAAAATTAACAACCCAGGCTCCAAAAATGCTGCTGTTACATCAGCTCCATAAGATTTTGCAGATAGGATTGATTATCACCTCATTTAATATTGTGTGTAATGCGTTTATGTTGGAAAGTACAGCTGTAAATGAGGTTGCAAAGATAAACAAATGACAGTGCAAGAGATTTGCAGGTATTTTATCAAGAAAATAAGGTGTCCTCAGTCACACGTATGTGTCTCTGTGTGTTGTGTACGTGTGCTTTATATACAGGCACTATAATAAAATCTAATCTCTCAACCAAGACGTGCATTCAACTTTAGTCTGTGAATAGCTGTTCCAAAGGTTAA